AGCGCTTCCTTCCAGGGTTGCCAGGTTGGAGGCAAAGGGAGAAGGGCAGCGCTTCCTTCCTGGGTTGCCAGGTTGGAGAAAAACGGAGAAGGGTAGCGCTTCCTTCCAGGGTTGCCAGGTTGGAGGCAAAGGGAGAAGGGCTGCACTTTCAGTATAGGGTTGCCAGGTTGGAGGCAAAGGGAGAAGGGCAGCGCTTTCATTACAGGGTTGCCAGGTTGGAGGCAAAGGGAGAAGGGCAGTGCTTCCTTCCAGGGTTGCCAGGTTGGATAAAGACACTTACGATGTAGGCGCAGCGTGGGCTGAAGGCAAACGTCCCGCAGGCATAAATGTGGCTGGAGTTGTAAAACTGTAGCACGCGGATAAAATTCGAACAGTCATCCTTAAAGAGAAAAAATACATGGGTCACAAAGTTAGTCCTTTCAGTAAAACTTTATGTAAACAGCAGAACCTCTACAGAGGAATCTAACTGGTTCCAGGACCGACTTTGTGTGTTAAAATATTGGTATGTTGGTTCAAATCTTCCATCAGAATACACTGTAATTTTTATAATTGGTTCCAAAAACCTACGATAACTCCATAATAAATACTGCAGATAATTACATATAGAAATAAAACAATTGACTTATAGAAGAGAGATGGAAAAAGAAATAAATGATAAATAAATCAAATTAATCAATAAAAAGGGTCTTCATTGGCAGGTAGAGACTGAGATACAGGACGTACCCCAACTTTAACTTTCACTACCTGAACTTTAAACTAACTTAGCTTATTCATTTTAATTACATTTTTATATATATATTTTTTTTAAACTATGACTTTGACGTCATATGTTTGTTGTAAATTTACTTTGGGTGTCAGGTCGAATATTTGATCAAATTTCACTTAGAATGTTGGAAAATTCGTTTATGTTTAGGCATCATTAGTAGAATTTCTGCTGTACTAATTAGAGAAAAACTTTACCTACAATATATTCAAACACCTTAAAATGAAGACATCTACACCACTGTGTTATTCTGCTTTTGTTTTGCTTTTTTTTGTTCCCTGTTTTCAGTTTGGTGTCAGTTTGTGTGTCGACCACTTGCCATTTTCTTGCCCTTCATGGAGCACTGTTCGAGGTCTTTGTGTGTCGGGCTCCAGTTCAGCTGGAAGCAGAAAAAACAGGGTTTCAGACCCACGTTTCCCTCTTTTCCCTCTAAAGCTGCTTTCCGTTTGTCTCCTGGGCCGTTTTCTCATTTGCATGCATCTAATCGACGGTTCATTCTTAATATTTAACTATTTAGATGTTCTTCCTTTAGCTTCTGAGCCACTTGGTTCCTGAATCAAGCTGTAAAATTAAAATATTTAGCGTAAAATACCAACTTTAAATTTTCAGCTGTTGTTAAAAGTCAACTCCAAACAAGCAATTTTTATTCCAATTTTAAATGTAAATAAACGGAATAAAAGCTGTTTCAAAAAGAAAATGTGGTGAAAGTAGAAAATATAGTGAAAGTCAACAGCACACCTGCAGCTTTTAACTCATTGGCTGCCAAAGACGTCTATAGACGTCTTTTATGTTTTTCAACGAGAGTGGCTGGGGGACGATCTGCTAAAGCTTGTCCGTAAATATGGGCTTCTAGACAGA